CCCCAAAACCCCAAAACCCCAAAACCCCAAAACCCCTTAAATTATTATTTAACTGAAGAAAATAAAAATTTTGAATTATGGATAACTTTAACCCAGTGGATGTATTTCAACGTCCTTCAAGGAACTTCTTCCAAGGTGGAAGGACCCTTGGAGACAGTCAGCCTGAAAATGGCAGCTTTCCTTCTCTAGCTCCTGACCTTTTCAGTAAAATTGACTCCTTCAAGATCAATGAATATCAAAAGAATCAATCTAAGATCCTCAAAGGAGGTAAGCTCCAATTAAACAAATTTTAGGGAATACCAAAAGGAAGTCATCTCTTGTTCCCACTTTGAGGAAGAATAAAAGTGAGAATGGGCCTAAAACGTTCAGGAGTGAACGGAGAAAGTCTTTCTTTAATATTGGCTTGAATGATATTAAAGATAAAATCCTAAAGAACCATCTCAATGCTCCTGAGATTGCCAAGAGAATTCCTAATTACTCTCTTTACGGTATTAAGCCAATCGAGAGGAAGAAGAAAGTCCAGCCTGTGACCAAGGAGAAACCGAGCAAGGTTACCCTTGCTCCGCCTCACAAACTTCTTCATATGCTAGAGAATCTCTATAAGTCCAAGAAGTGAGTGGCATCTTTTATTATTTCTTATCCTTAATTTAGGGACAAAAATTCTCAGATTCACTCACAAAGAGAGAACCTAAAGTCTAATCAGACAAACTTTGGAGATATTTGCCAAAATCTTAAATAAGGACCTCCTCGCTTGGGTGGATTCCTACTTAGAGGAGTTCCAGATAGAGCAAATGCATGTGATAAAGAAGGGAATTGAGGAGACTTCTAAAGCATATGATACCCTCAGTGAAGAGATCTTCCAGCTTAATCGACTCATCACTGCTACTCGACAAGGCCTTGAGACTAACAAAAGCATTGATGCGAGATTACTGAAGAAAATACAGAAAGTTATTAAGGAAAATACCATTCATGATTTGGAATATGAGAAGCAGTGAACTCTTCTGTATGAACAGGAGTTGAACAAGGTCAATGACCAAGAGATCACAATCAAGTTTGGTGGTTACCAAGCTAGTAATTACGGCAGGATTTACTCCCCAAGACCTTATATAGATAAATATGGACTCTCGAAGATAGAAACTAACTCTGGAAAGCCTAATAAGAAGATTAGGCTTACTAAATGGAAGAGCGATAAGGTCATGGAGTATGATGTCTCTAATAAGAAATGGATATTAACGGATACCCACATCAAGCCTGACGTGAAGCAGTTTTCAAGTACAGTGTTTTTCAACAATCTTGAAATGATGGTACTGGGAGGGCTGGACCCAGACGCAGAAGGAGATGAGCACTTCACATCCAAAGTTTACTCACTTAATGAAGTAGGAGACACTCCTTTGAATAAAGTATATTTTTCAGACCAGCTTATGAGCATGATTACTCCTAGGGGATGCTTCTGAACAACCATTTTAGACGATAAAATCTTAGCCATTGGAGGGCTCAACGATACAGAGAGAATCCTCAACAAATGAGAGTTGTATAACAAGCGTGATGACTGATGGCACCCTATGCCTTCACTGAACATAGCTAGAAATAATGCTTCAGCGATCAAGCTGAACGATGATTCTGTCTACTGTTTTGGAGGATGCGATGAAACTGGTATAATAAACTCCATTGAACTCTTCTCCTTTTCTCTAAACGAATGGTCAGTCTTAGAAATAAAGTTACCAAATCCAGTGAGTCTATGATCTGTTTTTAAGCTTAACGAAACAAAGCTATTAATCCTTGGAGGTCTGATTAAAGAATACTCAGAAAAGACAACTGCTTATAAGTCAGACCAAGTTTTGGTGTTTGATACAGCTGAGCCTAATTTTTATAAATCCCAAACTAATTTGCCAGAAGACTGTGTATCCTTATATCCTGCATTCTATGATGAAGGAAAGTTGTTCATTGTCAATGAGATACCAGATTTGTTCTTACCAGAGATTATTACCTACGATTTGGCAGAAAATTTGTCATCACTGCTCCCTAATCAGACAGAAGGGGATTAATTCATATTCAATTAATTCAAACTAGTAAGGGGTTTTGGGGTTTTGGGGTTTTGGGG